ACTCATTCTAATTATCATATATATAGCATATCCTTCTAAATGTTATCCTTTTAAACTGTCAAACACCAAGCGGTCACTGGTGACCGCAACCTATTGTTCTATAATTGTGTCTACAAAACCGGTACTCGACGAGTTAAGGATTAAGTTTAAGTATAACATAATTGATCAAACATAGTATATCAGTAAGTTTCACTTATAATTTGATAAAGGTAAAAGGCAGAAACACAGAGTGCCACCAAGTAGGATCATAACATAACATAACATCACGCCTTTTATTTCCGAAGGGGTAGGCAGAAGTGCATGACAGCACTTAATGCCACTGTACAATGTAACACACACTTTTCAGTGTTTATGTTATGAGTCCCATGTAATAGGGGGTGAGCCTATTGCCATATACCGGGCACAATTCCAGACTCCGTGCTACTACTGAGACTGTTTTAAACCCAGTAATACTTTGCCCGACCCGGGAATCGAACCCAAGACCTCTTGCCCGGCAGTAGCACTTGCAACCACTTAGCCAACGAGGCAGTCATCAAGTAGGATCCTTACATAAATAACTCTTTAGCTTCCTTTACCTGGCAAATTATGTGCTCAAATCCTTTAAAATAAATGATATTATGTGACGATGTCAGTGCAATCGTTCTTTATGTGTATTTATTAACAATTTTAAACGGAACGCTCCTGAAAAACGTCTTCAGGTAAAAAACAAGTTCTATTTTTATAAATGTAAGGAATTAAAAATGTTTCTTGTATACAATATTAGTGGTAATTAACTGCTCGAGAATAACACAAAAACAGAAAACGATTAACATTGTAAAAACTAGTTCTTTTTTTCAGCGTTCGGAAGGTTTTCGTTTATAGCCTATATAATAAAGACTGAGTTAACTACGTTAATTTGCAATAAAAACCGGCTTCAAAAACTAAAAACAAACGAAAACTAAAACGCAAAAATAACAGCTATTATTGGCAGATTGTAGTGGTTTTAAATACTTAATGAAAAAATTGACAAATGCACTAGTCGCCCCTATAATCTTTAAATGTTCCCCTCGGCTCCCCTGGGATTCCATCATCAGATCCTGATTCAAAGTCAAAGTCAAAGCATTTATTTCAATTAAACCATAGTTTGGTACTTTTGAAACGTCAACAAATACAAAATAAATAATAGTCTGTCAGTCAGTCCGTCAGTGAAGCTAGGTGAAGCTAGGTGCTCATTCCAAAACGTAGATTCGAATGGAGAAGAACGAGCAAGAAACTCCATTCGTTACTCTTTTAAAAAAGTATGTTCTACAATGTCTCTGATACATATTTCAATACTGTACGCATATGTAAGAACAATGCAAAGACACGCTTGACGCATTATACTACTAACTTACTAAAATAAAAATAAAAATAATAAAGATCTTAAGTCCAACATGGTCCTCACATATGCATACTGACAATCCATAGAAATAGTGCTTCTATACAAGAAAGAGGAAACTCTTTGTTTCAATTGATTTGATGACAATGGGACCAAATGACAAGCCTACCCTTTTAAATAAAAAAAGAATTTTCAAAATCGCTCCAGGCGTCTTCGAATACTCAGGTAATAAACATAAAAAAAACGCAGTCGAATTGAGAACCTCTTCATTTTTTTTGAAGTCGGTTGAATATATGTTCATCGATTAATTTGGGTTAACCACATCCTATAGTTATGGGATATCGAGATCCAAAGGCTACTTGGCTTCAAGAACAATTATTGTCAACCAAATAACAGGACTTAGCATCAAACAACGATTGATGACATGCAGCGCCTGTCTTTGACCTTGATTAATATTTAATACTATAAAACATGGCTTTAAACTTAAAACAAGGGTGATTAGTCTACACGGCTGTAACTAGCGTGACAGACACCAACCATATACAAACATGATATTAGTCACGATGTTATGAACAGTATCGCAATAACCACGGCACTCAAATTTTGTTTGTTCTTATCAAAAAATTCTATATATTCTCGATTGTGTGTGATATCGGGGCAATAGATGAACCAATGTAATTGTTAGATTAGATATAACCTGATACCATTTATTAAAAACGTTGGTGTTGCCAATTGTTATCACAGTTTGTTGAAGTGTGTTCGTGAAGTCGGTACGATGGCTCCGTGGCTTGAGTTTCCTCATGAGATGAAAAATGTTACTGGTGAAGAAGATAAAATTCTAAGGAAATGTTTACTAGGTGCGTTTAGTGTTGTGTTTATTTATTTTTTGAGGAAAGTATCGATATTGGTGCTTGGTTTTTTTTATTAATTTATATCTTTTCTTCGTATCATAATCGTCTCTTCATTTTTAACTCATATGTACTCCGTTTATAACTCGAGATTTGACCATAATATAAATTAATTTTCTCATGCATTTTCACATAAATATCACATGATTTGAAGTGTACTAAGTTAGGTAAATTCTAAGTTATTAGTTAACTTCTATTCAACTCTCTACCTTCGGTTTTACCTGTCTGCAGATATACGTATACAAATAATAAGAAATCTACATTACTGCCTGAAAAATAAACTTCCGAAAGACGTAAGAAGTTTTCAAATCGGTCTAGTAGTTTCGAAGCCTATTTAATGCAAACAGACATACAATCAAACTTTGTCTTTTTACAATATTGGTATAGTCATAGTACTTGCGGTAATAATATATATATAGTACGTTAGCCAAATTATTCGGTAATAATTGTAATGAAACTATAAACAATAAATACTTGACAAATTAATTGGAATTTTGTTCCATACACGCGTTGTTAGCCGAGTTTCCGTATAATTAAATTAATGCTTACATACATCATTGATTTTCAACGAATTATTAAATTTCCTGTTATACTGGTGTTACATAAGCACCACATAATATATTGTACACATGTATATTGGATTTTATACCGATTAGGTACATACATAAGACCCATTTTCTATTTACCGGTTACCAAAATATTCAGTAATGGCTCTGAATTCAGTGTAGGTATGGTAATATAGCTAGATTTGAACTAGGAATAAGAAATTTGGTTTGTAGTACATCATCAAAACCATTAACAGCCCATCGGCCCCAGCTGTCCAAATGTCGCTTCTCACACGAAGAAGGTTTGAGCATTAACCATGCTTGCTCAATGCCGGTTAGCGATTTCAAACTTATAGTTTGATATTGGCCTTTAGCCAAACGCCACTTTAGCACTTGTCTACAGAGAGAGTAGAAATTAAAATGTATGGGGATGACACTGACGAGTGTCAAAATGTACGTCAAATCCATATAATTTTGTTTTCTATTCTACATGTAGACACGCGCTTAATGGCATTTGGCTACAGCTGCTGGTTACCTACTCGATGTTTTCCTTCACCGTTTGTCAGTGGTGTCTAAATAATATCAGAAATTACATATGTATAACTCGGAAAAAGTCACGCAGTTTTGTATTACATAAGTTCCTCATTAATAATATTACGTGATTCATAGCAGGATACTAAAGTATTAAAAGTATATTATTAAGCATATCACCTTTGTAAAAATGTCGATAAAATTGTTAACACAAAACCTTTTTATCAGGCCACAATCCTGTTGTCGACATTTTAGTTATTTTCGGTATGTTATCTCTATACAGACATGATATTGATCGATTTTTGTTCACCATCGCGCCGAACCTTAGCGTTGGTTTTAACAAAATTTTATATGAATACTTTTACAAATCGTTTGATATTTTTATTGTACTGAATTTTAACGTATTGCAATTTGTTTTCTTAGTATTGTTCTTAAGTAAGTTACATTGTATATTTTATTAAGAACCTAAACCGACCCTAGCTTTACCTAGCTTCACTGACTGACTGACTGACAGACTATCATTTATTTTGTATTTGTTGACGTTTCAAAAGTACCAAAATATGGTTTAATTGAAATAAATGCTTTGACTTTGAATAAAATTTCTTTAAGCCTAAACCTATATATGCACCATGTAAAAATAACACAGTGTAGGTATAAATGCAGTTAGTAAAATTCATTTATGTCATAGCATAACTGTTCTTGAAAGACTCACGAATCTATTTAACTTTGGCAGTCAATCCATTATATTCGAAAGTCGGACGACAAGGTGTCAACAAATATTTAAGTTCAGTAGTAGTTTAATATAGTAGGTAATCTGAAATTGTACCCAGTAACACTTCTGTTATACAGAATTGTTACCTTTTACAATATTGAACTTGTAATTATAACAACTCGAATCTCTAGTCCCCAAAAGGCTGATAACGCACTTGTAACACGGGTTGTGGGTATCCATGGGCGACGCTGATTGCTTACCATCAGGTGATCTGTTTTGCTCATTTGCCGGATTATCCCATATAAAAATAGACGATATATTTTCGTCTTTTTTATAATCTTCTCTTTTGTTAAATCCATTTGTTAACTAGAAAACGTGATGTTATGTTAAGTCGTGTGATCTGAAGATTTGAGTGTAACAAACAAATGAAGGGTTTATCTAGCAGAGATAAGGTCCAATCTTATGTTCGGATGTGGATCTGGGTTATCTTGTCGAGTATCTTATTTGACAATTGTATCTACGACTAATGCATACAGACAATAGTTAGTTTTCTTACAGTTGACTTTGTTAGTTCGGGATATTTGATGTTATGTGAATGGTTTAGCATTTAAAACTGTTAGCTCATGTTCATGTAATGTAAAGTTTCCTGACGATCTCCAGATGCAAAAATCATACATATTATCATAATAAAATCACTTAGCTGTGATATGAAAAAATAACAAATATGCTTTCAATTATCCATTTATAATAATAACAAGAAAGTAAATATTTCATAATATATTTAATAATATATGTCGACATGTGGAATATGGATTCGGCTATCATTGTGCCGATAGTCGTGTCGGCCAATGGTTTAATACTTAAAAGCCTCGACAACCATCTCAGGAGGCTGGCGTTAGGTGGATGGATCAAGGGCCTGATACAGAAGGCAGTTCTCCTAGAAACGGCACAAATTGTGAGGAGGTTTCTGTCTCTGGAGCCCTAACCACCGGTAGCTTGGACCATGCTCCTGCTACTGGTCGGCTCCTATTTTTTATATTTTGAAATATTATTTTTTATTTTGTAAGTAGTATTTTAAAATGTAATTTATAGAGAATTTAAAAAAATATATGGAAATAAGAAAGTAAATATGTTATCATTAAGAACTTCTAACGTAACTGTTTCACTGACCTTAAAAGCGATGCCTCAATTAATGTAGGTCTAATTATATAGGCAGATTTCCAAATAACGCTATTGGAATCATACACATTCATCATCAATTTACGGTGCAAATTACTTAACGATTCGACCTTATTGCAATTAGGAACACCTGAATTCATTTTAGCATCTTGTATTGATTCTCAATGAAAACTTAAATTATGACTCATAAGTGCTATATTTGCTTGTTCAGTGTAACTCCTTGCTGCAATCGGGTTAGTACCTAGAAACATTGTTTTTTTGTATCCAGAATGTAAGTAACCTTCTGGATCTGTCTGGTCTGCCAGTCTTTCTTGGTTAGGAAAATGCTATGTGTATAATTTTTTTGTATGGCATAAGCTGATGGTAAGCAATCGGTGTCGCCCATGGACACCTGGAAAACCAGAGGCGTTACAAATGCGTTACCGGCTTTTTGCGGATTAGGTGTTTGGGGATCGTTGGGGATTCAGGAATTGAGGAATCGGAGGGTAATTGGGCCTCCGGTGACCTCACTCACACGACGAAACACAATGCAAGCGTTGCTTTACGTCGGTTTTTCTGTGAGGCCGTGGTATCACTCCGGTCGAGCCGGCCCATTCGTGCCGAAGCATGGCTCTCCCACACTTATAATATGCTAACATTGCTATGTAATATTTGTTTTCCGATAGTCTATGAGTATGAGTGGTCTATGAGTCTATTGCTTTAAACTCTTTCGATTTTGTCAAAGAATAGGTCTTATCTAGCATACCATAAATTGTCGCGGAGAACCTAACGGGTAACCGGGTGGTTTTTAGTCAGTCTGACACTAAGGCGGGAGCTGTCATTCGATGATTTCCCCCCCTTAAAATAAAGCATACCATAAATACGTTATTTTCTATGGTTATTTGCTTATCATAAATAGGTGGACTAGTGTCGTGGAACTTTGTCGCTATCGGGCAATAGAGATACATGAACAGTTTGTTAAAAGATAACCCATTCAATGTTCACGACTTGCAATTACGGCTAACGCAAGGTTATAGCTAAATCTATGTATGTGTTTATTGGTTACTAGGCAACCATATGAATCATAGTATGGTGGTTTTAACTATTACCATGTTAAGTTTTTTTGCTGATATGTGACATAATGATGTTTAAACATAACATAACGAGTGGTCACAAGTGCGACTGCCGGGCAAGGGTCCCGGGTTCGATTACCGGGTTGGGCAAAGAATTATCAAGTTTAAAAAAAATCTCAGTAGCAGCATGAAGTGTGAAATTGTGCCCGGTATATGGCAATAGGCTTACCCCCGATTACATGTGACTCATAACATAAATAGTGAAAAGTGGGTGTTACTTCTGTATGCACCTCTAGCTACCCCCTCGGGGATAAAAGGCGTGATGTTATGAGACGTTTGATTATCTAGCTAGTTCAATTATTCCTACAGTGAGGAAGGGCTAGATCATATCAAGCGATGAATCAGTGATTTTGTAATGTAATTTGTAAAACAGAACACCTCACATTTACGTTATCAGTAGATAGCTAATCATATAAGACGTTTATTGTTCTATAATTTCTAGATTCCTTATCATTCAGTGTTATTGTAATTATGCAAAAGGCTTTTACGATACATTGATAGCTTAGTAATATAGCTCGTATGTTACTAAGGCAAATGACTGTACTTTGGACTTTTTGTTGATTATGAATCTGGCTCTTTTGTTTTTACAAAAACGTAGACGTGTTTTAATTTCATAATAAACTTTTTAAACTCATTTATCAATAATATGACTTCTCTATCGATACACATTTGGTTACAATAGGGATGATAGGCTATGAAAATTAAAAATGTAATTAGTCCGCCAGTTAGGTAATGAAAAAATATTAGATACGTAGTTTTTTATTTTGTCGTATAAGAAAATAATACTTAGATAAACCGAAACAAAGTTTAGGAGTGGGAGGTAGGTACATCATTTTAGATTATAAATCGTACTCAAAAGTGACGTCATACTATATTTCAAATCAATATAAGTATTTTCGAAACTATTCGTTTCCGTAAGAAAATTAGAAATACGTGTCTAATGTTTTAAATAATGTACCAGACGGACATTAAAATAAAAATTAGTTATCTACCCAATTCTAAATAATATCTTACTAAAAATTGTATACTGGACAATCACAATAATGTTATGCGTTATGCCACTATTTCTCATTTATAAAAAATTATAATATAATAATATTAATTATAAATTATAATAATCATATTTCCCGTTGGAGATACCCAAACATTTTAAAATATTATCAATTTAAAGTTAAGGAAAAAATAATAATCGCAGCTCTCTTTCCATACTTTAAAAGTTATAATATTTTATTATCGGGATTCGAAATTCAGATCCATATTGTAAAAAAGTATGATAATTATTTTAATCTTTTGTTATCATATAGATATGGGATTGTATTATTTGTTTTGAGTCATACAATATGCTTGTCATTGTACTAAATGTACTGATTTGACCCTGATAACTTGATGTTCAATCATTTCTTGTCAGGGTTTTAGAGATACCTAATTTTCTACGAGTGCTCTAAGGACATCTTTTTGCAATCTCAATCTCTTATCGGACTTTGAAAGCGAAAACTACTTTTCGTCACCTATATCTAAGTCTCATATTTAATACTAGTTTTTACCATCGGTTTTGCTTGCGTTTCCGTGGGTTAAAAGGTAGCCTATGTGTAACTCCAGATCATAACCTACTTCTGTTCCAAATTTCATTTCGAACCCTTCAGCCATTTTGACGTGAAAGAGTAACAAACAAACACACACACATACACACACCCATATTTTCGTATTGATAATATTAACTCGTCGAGTACCGGTTTTGCAGTACTCGACTCGGTACTCGACGAGTTAAGTAATAGGATACAATGCTTCTAAACGTCTCTTAATTACTGAATATTTTTAAAGTTAAAACTTATTCAACCACCAAAAAATATGAATTTTTAATTTTATGTCTTCATTTCAAGGATTTAATTCTTACTTTTGTTTTATTTTCAAGTATGGCTTACTTTACTATTCTTGCTTTCGCTAGAAGTCATTTGGAATTGGTAACCATATATCTATACTTTATTTCCCCCCACTAAACGCCATTTCATCATAAACCATCACGCCTCACAATCCTCAAACTCCTAAATCCCAAAAGGCGGGTAACGCACTTGTAACACTTCTGGTGTTCCAGGTCTGCTCGTTTACCGGCTTATTTTATAAAAACACTAAATTCCTCTATAATGTTTAATAGTAGATAATCTTAAGTACTATATGTAAAATAAAGTATTCTTTCCTATCACGCATTCACACCATGATCCTACGAATAAATTTTTGGTATCCATGCAATAAAAGTATATAAAAACATATACTACATTATCGATGTTGGCTATCAAACATCTCGCTCAGTGATAGTTATCTCATAGTATTCATATGTACTAGTCTTTATGTAGACACTTGAAATAAACTTCATGTGGAGTATAAGTAAATAATATATTAACTGGCGTTTTACGTAAGTGGGTATTCCAGTAGTTAATTAATTGATTTAGATAGTAAAAGTGATTGTTGTGTCGCGCATGGATTTGACCACAGGTGGCGCTGATAAATTTTTTATATTTGATGGGCGACGTTTGACCCCTATCTCGCCTGGTTGTAAGCAATGATGCGGTCTACGATGGATCACGTCGTCCCATAATCAACCTATTCACTCGGGCCTTGAAGACATCTTCAGGAAATACAGAATCTGGCAAAGAATAGCTTATAGCTTATAGCTTACCTCTCGAGTGGTCTCTCTTCTCGTTTGCTTCTATATGACATAAAATGAAGTATTTTAAAAGTTAAAGCCTATTTTAAACTAGCGGACCCCGCGAATAAAGTTTGGCATTAGAATTCTAGATTCGCTTTCTCCTAACAATAACAAACTCTACAAATAAGAATTAGCAAAATCGGTTAGCCGCTCTCGAAATTTGCGCTTTGCAACACATTCAGCGATTATGTTTTCTATTATATTAGCTGACCTTACAAATTGCGTACCACTGACAATTTTTTTCTCACTTTTTAAACTACCTATAAAACACCGCGAGGACACCGGTGACCCCAACCTATTGTTCTTTAATTGTGTCTATAATGACGGTAATCAACGTAAATAAAACCAAACGTAGTTAAACCCTGGATTTGGACGAACATTTCAAGACTAAAATCAAACAAATCAGGTTCAGCCGTTCCTGTGTTTTAGCGAGAGTAATGAATGGAAATTCATTTTTATTTATTTATATTGATAGATAGATAGATAGATGAAACTCGATTTTTTATTTTTTAAAAAGATAAACACGTTTTCTCTTAACAATAACGAATGCTATAATACTATTTTTTCTCTCTAATCAAAAAAATATTAGACTGAAAACACACTTGTATTTACTGAGTACCTAAGTGAGTACGATATTTAAATCTACAATTCATAAAAGAGTACACCAATAAGCTTTCACTATACGAAATGGATGCTTTTAGCAAAATCGTATTGTTACCTTTTTCATTTCATTATTAGAAATCTTGAAACCAGTTCGTTTGTTTATTTGTTTGATTTTTCCAGAATTGAGTTTAAACTGTCAAACACCAAGCGGTCACCGGTGACCGCAACCTATTGTTCTATAATTGTGTCTACAAAACCGGTACTCGACGAGTTAATGACCTTAGTACAGAAACATATATTATATTTTTGGAATGATAATTTATGAAATAAGTGATATTTAACCTTTTTTCACAAATCACAATTCAACTCAAATTCAAAAGCATTTATTTCAATTAAACCATAATTTGGTACTTTTGAAACGTCAACAAATATGAAATAAATAATAGTCTGCCAGTATGTCCGTCAGTGAAGCTAGGCAACAAACAGAATTAACTGTTAAAGTGTATGCAATAAGACATCAAGCAAAACTACGGTCGAAAGCTTGTATTAAAAATAAAAATACCTTTTTAAAACATGCGAAGGCTATTTCAGCCCTGTCTGAATTAATAAAACCATATTGTTGTTTTAAAAAATGTATATTTTTATACATTTGGAGTGCTAGGTCTAGTGAGGGATGAAAGTAATTTAAACTGGTATAGAGTTCATACATAATACATATTCATTTACTTCATCAACAGCCTATAAATGCCGACTGCTGAGCAAAGCCTCTTCTCGCACGGAGAAGGTTTGAGCATTAATCACCACGCTTGCTCAATGCGGGTTGGCGATTACAAACTTATAATTAGAAATTATACGCTCAGGTTTCCTCACAATGTTTTCCTTCACCGTTTGTCAGTGGTGTCTAAATAATCTTAGAAAGTACATATAACTCGGAAAAAGTCACATTGGTACTTGCCGTTGGTAGGTTTCGAACTCGCATTCTCATGCATGAGAAGCCAGCGTCTTAAACCTCCGGACCACCACGACATTCATTTACTTAGAAGCATATATTGTGATCATAGGTGATAATATTACAAAGTAAAATAGACTTTGTTACTCTTTTTTAAAGTTTAAGATTAAATGGCAGCTTTGGAGCCATCCAGAAATTTCTAATCTTATACTATTATATAAAGCGGAAGAATTTGTTTTTTTGTTTGTTTGTTTGAACGCGCTAATCTCCGTAACTACAAGTCTGATTTTAATAATTGTTTTTGTGTTGGATAGTGCATTTATCGAGGATGGCTATAGGCTATAAAACATCACGCTTCGACCAATAGGAGCTGTGCACAGCGTGTGAAACCGCGTGGAAGTAGCTAGTCTAATGATATCTTTCTTTTCTGTCCAGGCTATACAAAGCCGTTTGTGCGATGTGGCGAGAAAGAGTACGTGATGGCTGGCTCGTACAGGAAGCATGCTGAGGCCATTTACAACTTCCAAGTCCGACCTGATGATGTATGGGTTATCACTGTACCTAGATCTGGTGAGTTCTTTGATATTTTTTTGTTTGATTAAAACTTTAGTTATTGGTGGGAAGATGTAGACATTGAAGTTGTACGATAGAGTCGACATTCTAAGTCTGTAAATTGAAGTACAGATTGTAGGCAGTTAAGTAAATCTTATACTCTTCTTATATATATCACGCCTTTTTATCCCCGAAGGGGTAGGCAGAGGTGCACATTATTCCACTGTACAATGTAACACCCACTTTTTACTATTTATGTTATGAGTTCCATGTAATAGAGCGTGAGCCTATTGCCATATACCGGGCACATTTCCAGACTCCGTGCTACTACTGAGATTTTTAAAAACCCAGTTATTCTTTGCTCTACCTGGGAATCGAACCCCAAAACGCGTTGTAATACATGTACAATTATACAATGGTATTTTTAAACAATGTTACCTATAACAATAGTTTAGTATTTATCTATTAAAATACAACAAACGTCATAAATTGTTATATGATAAATAAGCTGTTCTATAAACATTTTATTTCACAATTTATCATTTATCGTGATAATGTCGTTACGCCATTTAAAGCGATCATAGGGCGATGTAATCCAGGCAAATTTTACTGATACAGGGTACCTGTAGATTATGAGAACCTGCTCAGTTATTTTCCATAGTTATTGCTGAATCATGGTGATTCAATTTTGGTTTTCGATTAAAATTATGTTCAAGGTTGGTTGTTTGATAACCATTGATTTTTAATGATAGAGAGAAATGTGACCCTTGTTTATAATCGATAGATGTGCTTGATTGATTTTAAATCATTTTTAATCTAATTATCTTATTAGTAGGAGTCTGGAATTGTGCCCTGTATATGGCAATAGGCTCACCCCCTATTACATGGGACTCATAATATAAATAGTGAAAAGTGGGTGTTACATTGTACATTGGCATTTAAGTACCGTAATGTGCACCTCTGCCTACCCCTCCGAGGATCGGAGTCGCGGAGAACCTAACGGGTAATCGGGGCTCCGGCTCGACGTGGTTTTTAGTCAGTAAGAGTCTGACACTCCCTCCCGCCTCACTCAGGCGGGAGTAGTCATTCGATGATTGAAGTCCCTTAAAAAAACCCCTCCGAGAATAATAGGCGGGATGTTACGTAATGTTATATTCTTATTAGTAATTGAGTCTTTGATTGAGTCTCACTCATTTGAGGCAGAGAGAATGATTTGATATAAAAATTTTGCCCAGTTCATTTACTTTATCCAAGTTAATCTAAGATTACATTATCTAATTAAGCATTATTCATATTTGTTTCAGGTACAACATGGGTACAAGAGTTAGTGTGGTTGGTGGCTAACAACATGGACTTCAAAACAGCTAAAGACAAGCCCTTGTATAAGAGATTTCCTATGTTAGAGTGAGTATTATTGTTTTTAGTTTTTGTTAACCTCGTCTAAATATTAATAATATAACTGGAAAACACGAACTCCTAGAATACAACGAGAAGAGCACATTGTTGTTCGGACTTCTTTATTCAGTTTTTGCGTGAAGAAATTCTCATAAGAACTAATTAACAAAATCAACAGCCTATAAGTGAGCTGAGCAAAGTCTCTTCTCAAGGTTTGATCATAAATCACCACGCTTGCTCATTGCGGATTAGCGATTTCAAACTTATAATTCGAAATAAGTCCAGGTTTCCTCACGATATTTTCCTTCACCGTCTGTCTGTGGTGTCTAAATAATCTTAAAAAGTACATACGAAAAAGTCACATTGGTACTTGCCGTTGGTAGGTTTCAAACTCGCATCTTCATGCATGAGAAACATCTTAACCTCCGGGCTACCACGATTACTAACTAACATGAAGTCTAAATTATCCGATGTGTAACTTCAACCCCTTTTATAATAATTGGGTACTTATGTATGATACTTAGTTATTTATGTTCTCTTCGGGGAATCGCATTACCAGCGTGATGTTATAGAAAACGTTATATCTAAAGTATTTTTACAGCTGAAATATTGTCGATTGTAATCAGGTGCTACAGAACGCCGATAAAATTTTACGATAGCAGTTCGTATCTGGTTTTAGTCATTATATAAACTGTTTTTGCGTCAAGTAAATAAGTAGGAAATACCATCCTTTGTTACGTAGGTAATAAATAGAGTTGAACTTTCCCAATATCCGCCCAGTTTTCTTAGAAAAAGGAGGACTTTGTTTTATTTTACAAAATCCGAGAAAACTAAAAAACGCTATGTTATTGATGGGAATATTTAAGTCAAAACATCCAAATTTAAAAGTACTGTTAAACATGCTAATTTTAAGGTTAGAATCATGCTTCAATTGAGCACTTGTCTTTTAGTAGCATGTATGAGCATCTTGCTAAAAATTACCATGCTCATTTCGGATATGTTTACGAATCGAGGGGCGTTCGATTTTTGAACATTTTTGAATATGTTCAATAGAACGCCTTTTAGCACGCTCTTTCAAAGCACGTGCACCTTTATACTTGAAAAAATGACCTCGACAGTCACAATTTCAATAATTAGGACGAAAATTTTAATTTAGGTGTATTTCTTTTCTCCAGGGTATCAACACATATCCCAGAAATCGCAGTTGAACTGATCAAGATAAATTTCTTTAACTTGGGCAACTTCCAAGGCCTAAACGAAGCAGTTAAGGAAAAGAGTTGGAAGTCATTGGACAAAGCACCTTCTCCGAGGTTCATTAAGACTCATTTGCCATTGTCGATGTTGCCGCCGAACCTGCTTTCGACCGCGAAGGTTGTATATGTGGCGAGGGATCCCAGAGATGTGGCAGTGTCTTACTACTATCTTTATAAAATGACGAACAAAAGCCTACTGAGAGCAAACTTCACTCACTTCTGGGAAGCTTTCAGAAGGGATTTGTGTAAGTATACATTTTTGAACAGTTTTCAATAGGAAAATCGGAAAAGGGCTTAAATTTTTCCGTGTAATTTTTTTATGAGTGTTATTAATCGATTAGAATATTACGTACTTTATAGATGAAGTAGTGTTTAACTCGTCGAGTACCGGTTTTGCAGACACAATTATAGAACAATAGGTTGCGGTCCCCGGTGACCGTTTAGTGTTTGACAGTTTAATTAAGAAAACGTACAAATTTTCAGTAAATATTATCGTGCTTTTAAAGTTCCATAATAGGGTAGTTTCCTAAATTTTATTTTAATGCCCGCCTGCCAAGATTCATTCATAATGACGCGTATTTTTTCTTTTCTCACAAAATTAAATACTTTCGACGATATATTAATTTGAAATATCGTGTGACGTCACAACATGTTATATTTTGTAGCACGCTGTGACGTAACGACTACCTGCTCCAAAAGTTACGATTTTATACGAGAAAGTAAAAAATACGTGTCTAAGATTTTACCATTATCTAACTGACGGACTAATTAGATTTCTAATTTTCATATCCTGGCAATTACCCTATTATAGAGTTCTTGAAAATCTTTCATTCCAAGAATCATTGCCTTATGTAAGTTTTCTGTTTCCAGTACCGTGGACCCCTATCGTGGCACACGCAAACGAAGCGTTTGAAAAGAGACATCATCCGAACCTACATTTCGTATTCTACGAAAATATGAAAAAGGTATGTATATTTTTAATGCAGTATCATGAAATAGTTATATATAAAACATATATAATATATAAAATAAATACTATGCCACATGATAAATCTATTCGCCGAATTCAAAATAATTCAGCTGTTGAATTTAAAAAAGCTGTTGAAATCAAAATAAAACCTTTTTTTTCCAAGTAGATCAAGTCTTTATTTTAAAATAAAACTGTAAAAAACATGCTAATTTGTGGGGCTTTTAGCGAAGCAATGTTGCAAAAATATATTAATAATTAACACAGTTCTAACTTTGGTAGTTAATTTTATATTTTAAACTTGCAATCGTAAATTTTAGCATAATAACCACTTGGTCAATAATGTAGTATAATTTTGATACTAACAATACTTTAACTTTCAGGATCTGCACAGAGAAATAGGAGAAGTCGCCAAGTTTCTGAACAAAGACTACACAGACGCACAGATCGACAGGCTGGCTGAACATCTCAGCTTCGACAACCTGAGGAAGAACAAAAATGTCAACAATAGCATAAATAAAGATTCTGAAATACAGTTTATTAGAAAAGGTGAGTACTTCAGATAACGTTATTACTGCGAGACCTCACATTAGTTAAAACGAATTTAAAAAAACTGATATAATAGATCAATATTATTTTTTAATACTTTTTAATACTCTCCTGTACGTTGCCCCCCCTACACTAGTAGTAGTGTAGTAGTACTCTCCTGTGTCGTGGGTGCGTTTACAAATATACAAGTTCACATACACATGACACCCAGACCCGGAACAACAATTTGTGGATTGTCACACAAAGAGTTGTTCTGTGCGGGAATCTAATCCGCGACACGTTGCGCGGCAGCCAGTTGCCCAACAACCGCGTCAATCGTGCATTCAAATCCAATCTACTCTACGTTAATCCCAATATACACAGATTTATTTATCAAATCGAAACTCTTAGAATTGGGATGATGACAGGGTATGAAAATTAAAAATGTAATTAGTCCGTAAGTTAGGTAATGAAAAATTTTAGACACGATTTTTTTATTTTGTCGTATAATAAAACAATACTTAGATAAAACGAATCAAAGTTTAGGAGTGGGGGCTAAAACGTCATTTCTACGTATAAAATGTACATAGAAGTATTCGTTTCTGTAAGAAAATAAAAAATACGTGTCTAATGATTTAAAATACTCTACCAGACGGACATTAAAATAAAAATTAGGCATCTACCCTATTGTAAAGCTGGTCATTTATTTGTACATATATTCAACATTACAACTTTAGTATAAAACCTTTTACCATCAACTCGCTCACTTGCTCACTATGTCCTCACTCTAAATCTCAAATTTTATTCAAATTTCAGGTGAAGCCGGAGGCTGGAGGGCACATTTCGACGAGAAAATGCAGTTGCAAGCTGAGGAATTCCTCGTAACAAGACTAGCAGGGCTCGAGTTATCTTACCCTTCCTTCCCCACTAACGAAATCACTAAATTATAACACATACGAACCTATTTATTATATGTATATAGATAATATCTACGCTTTTCTGTGATCGGTAAATGTGGAGAGTGAATGGGAACGTGTCAATATTGTTGTGATTTATTTTGTAAACTTTTTTAAATATCGAACACCGGTGAAGTTGGTTATCCATTGCGTTCTTTCGAATTTGAATTTTAACGTTTGAAATGCTTCTAAAGAGGTTATGATTAAAAAAAACAGAAGTGCTAGCTTTGGCTTTTGGTTACATTTTAAAATTAGGAAGTAGGTATTTAAAAAAAAAGATTGTTTATGAATAATACAGACTATGAATCACATTTTGGATTTTAGTCAACTAATGATTTATTGCAATGACTATCAATTATTTTACACTAATTGCTGGGTTTGTCACTTAATATTGATTGATGACGATTAAAATCAGCATTGTCATAATTAAAATATAATTCTTTGGAACTAGATTCGAATGGACGCAGTGTTTAGTCACCCTTACAATACTAAACGGGTTGATTTGTAAATATTTAGTTTTGTAAATTTTTTTAATTTAAGTTATTTTTGCATTTAGACTGCCTTATGGGTCAACGACCGTTAACTATGTCTAGATTGTACACAAATTATGTTATACTCAATATGTTAAAATAACCATATAGTATAAGTTACTCTCTAATTCAAATACATGAGCAGAGCTCAACAGTTGAATGTTTATCTAATTTGACTTCTAAATACAGAACAATAGAGATGAATATGTAATACTTCTTACTGGGGAAATATAACAGTCTATTTTGATTATATTGACTGAAAGATTAGTGCTCGAAGTTAAATAATTAATTATAGTAAATAAGACACTTTTCACGAAGTCATAACTTTTGTAAACAGTGCTCGGTTGAATAACCAACCACTGGTTATCATTTTCGTGCTTAATTAATCTTTATTTTCTTACCTGTATATGTACCTAATGATTTGGCTGCCTGTGCTTTCTATGTTAGGTATGTACATAATATGTACCTTTTTGGTCGCCTTTACCGAAATCGGTAAGAAGGACTATATCTTATTGGTTATGTACTATCGGCAAAGTTTACGGCAATACACATTTGAAACAAAATCCTGTGGCAAATTCGTTGTCCACCGCCCAGTTTTCCTTGTGGTCGCTCGCTGAGTGCATGCGAATATCGCCTAATGATGGTCGTCCGCCAACTTTGTCGAATGTACATATTGAAGCTTCAAAGTTAAACAATTTTTGAGTAGTGTAATTAATTGTGATTGTACAAAAATTGAAATTAATTAAATTATTAATGACTGCCTTGTTGGCCGAGTGGTCGCAAGTGCCACTGCCGGGCAAGAGGTCTCGGGTTCGATTTCCGGGTAGGGCAAAGTATTACCGGGCTTTTAAAAATTCTCAGTATTAGCACGAAGTCTGGAATTGTGCCCGGTATATGGCAAAAGGCTCACCCCCTATTACATTGGACTCATAACATATATAGTGAAAAGTGGGTGTTACATTGTACAGTGACATAATGTACACCTACGCCTTCGGGAATAAAAGGCGTCATGTTATGTTATGTGTTAATTAATTATTGCTCGTGAACGCTTCTATAAATTCGGCCATAACCTATTATTTTTTCAAATATTTGTTAGAATATTCTAATGAAGAGAATAAATAGAAAAACGCTGAAAGTTAATAGAAATAGGTACGTGTTTTGAGTTACCTTTTAAAGAATAAGCTTTATATGTGATAATTGTTTGTAAATTATAGGTATTTAGATGTCGATTATTTAGATGTGATATAGAATTACAATATTGTAACAATTATTATTGTTTATATTATAAATAATACTACTAGCTGTTGTCCGCGACTTTGTCTGCGTAGAATATGAAGTTTAGGATATTTTTTCAAACTAAAAGCAGCCTATGTAACTCCTTAGTAAATCAGCTTACTGCCAATAAAAGCATATAAAAAATAACTCTCGTCAAAAACGGGCCAGATATTACAGAGATTAGCCAATACAAACAGATATACAGACGAACATTGTAAAAAAAAAATATTTTGATGTGTGTATCGGATGTATATTCATAAGCATGTAGTAAAAAGCGGTAATTATAATATACTAGCAGCCTGTCCCGGCTTCGCACGGGATAGACAATAATTTGTTTTTGGAAATTTGGATTGTTGTAGTGACCATAACTACAATAGTTGGACATATGCTTCCGCGTAGTTTTTTGTAGACATTATGATGTTCTTCAATATCGTTGTTCATTATTTTGTTCTATCACTAATAGGCAGCTTTCGGCAGCGCATTCGACAAAAGGCATTTTAAGATTCATTTTTCTACACCTTCGGTTACATTCTTCAAATTTTACTAAGGATCCCTAATTTTTTTCAAAATGAAATGTAGCCTATGTCAAATTGGAAGAATGTAGCATTCTATTGGTAAAATAATGTTTTAATTCGGCCCTATACTTTTTGAGCCTATTCATTACAAACATACAAACATACAAAATGGGTACAAATCTTTCCTCTTTATAATATTAGTATACAAAAAACAGACAATCCAATTTAACTTATCTGCATAGATAAACTATTTGACATCTTCTGGCTGCCAGGCTGTACAATTTGAATATTTCGAAAAAAAAGTTACAAGTTCTAAATCTAAAATAGATATTCGTTCTCGAAACAAAATGTGTAGTTTCAAATTAATATTCGTAGAATACGAACAGTAATTGTAATTGTTATTGATTGATTTATAATTTTGCTGTAGGTATATCAAGTCCTTGTTACCTCGTTATGTCATAATTTATAAATGTTATCTTTTGTGTTGTAAGTAAATAGCTTATAAAGCATTATTTTGTAAATAATAATAAGTATGCTTAAGTTATTATAAAGAAAAGATTTTCTATCAAATAAACATTATTTACACGAAATACTGGTTTGTCTTTATATATGTATAACTAGCGACGCGCCCCGGCTTTGCACGGTGGCAATATGCATGTATTATACATAATATAAACCTTCCTTAAGTATCACACTATCTATTAAAAAAAACGCATCAAAATCCGTTGCATAGTTTTAAAGATCTAAGCATACATAGGGACAGGCAGACGGAGGATAGCGACTTTGTTTTTTACCTCTACAATGTAGTGATGATGACGACTGTCTTTTTTTGCCTTCAAAGGAGTAGCACTCACTGTTTATCAGATATCGAAACCCATATAGTAGAAGGTTAGTCTATTACCATTTATTAGACCCAAATCCTCGTTGGCCGAGTGATCGCAAGTGCGGGTTCGATTCCCGGGTCGGGCAAAATATTACTGGGTTTTTAAAAATCTTCGTGAGCGCGGAGTCTGGAAATCTGCGCGGTATATGGCATAATATAAATAGTGAAAAGTGGGTGTTACATTGTACAGTGGCAGTGCCGCAATGTGCACCTCTACCTAATCCTTTGGGGATAAAAAGGCGTGATGTTATGTTATGTCATATGTGTTTACCCAAATCCAGACTGTTATTACTGATAAACATTAATCAAATTGAAAAATCCTTAATAATACTTTGGCCCAGGGTTGTCCAAGCTATGGATCGCGACCCATTGGTGGGTTTTTTAAGGGTGGAAAAATCATCGCATTTCTTTTCCCGCCTAGGCAAGGCGGGAGGGAACGTCAAACTCTTGCTGATTAAAAAACAACCCCGTTCCTACACCTGCACTTCGAGCTGGAGCCCCGGCAACCCGTTAAGTTTCCCGCAGCTCCGACATATTGATGGGTTGGAAGCGAATTTTTAGTGGGTATTGTCAATAGAATGACACAATGACAAACCGTTATGTATTTTATGTTTGATATTGGTTACGGTTTAATTTCCTAAAAGTGGGTCCTGAGTTTAGTAACTTGATTTAAATAGGTTGTAGTCTAGACAACTTGGTGAACTACTGCTTTGACCATTTCGGTAAGAAATACCGAGATCCAGTACCTGGCAGTTGCACTTGCGACCATTGCACCAACAAGTTAGTGGCAAAAGAGGACAAGTCGACTTAAAACAGCGACAACTTACAACTAACATAACATAACATCACGCCTTTTATCCCCGAAGGGGTAGGCAGAGGTGTACATTACGGCACTTAATGCCACTGTACAGTAACACCCACTTTTCACTATTTATGTTATGGGTCCCATGTAATAGGGGGTGAGCCCATTGCCATATACCGGGCACAATTCCAGACTCTGTGCTACTACTGAGATTTTTTGAAAAAGCCTAGTAATACTTTGCCCGACCCGGGAGTTGAACCCAAGACCCCTTGCCCGGCAGTCGCAATTGCCACTCGGCCAACGAGGCAGTCCAACTTAATACTGTTGACTCCTAAACAGGAACCAGCATCCATACATCATAACCACCATTATATTTATATCTAGACTAGCTGTTGCCCGCGACTTCGTCCGCGTAGAATAATGACTTCTGGCAGAATTTAGGCTTTTGAATTAGTTTTTATCAAGGGATATTCTACGGTAATGGATGTCGTCAGAATTGATTCAGTCCCGTAGATGATAGCGTGATAATATGTAGCCTATATGTTTACCAGACTTGTTAGTAATATTCATGCAAAATTTGAAATAGTAGTGC